GCGCTGTCATCACTGCACTCCGCTGCGTTTCCATCACAATGACAGTTTATGACTGTTCAGTAAACCATTCGGCCCGCGATTTAGGCTGGATTTTAGATTTTGGCCCCTTCTCTGATTGAGTTCGACACCCCTGCTCTAGCCCAATGTTGTTGACACAGCCTGTGGGCCCCAGCTGTCACTGGAGAGTCAACGGCCACATGCTCCCTCACTGCTGCCAAGGACCCTCCATCTGAAAACGTGTCTCCACTGCACTATGGGTGAGAGACGGAGAGCCGAACCCATGGTTCTGAGACGCCCTCTGAATTATGGATGAGCAGGCAGACGTCGGAGTTCCCATTTCACAGACAGGGGAGCTAAGGGCAAAGATAAGCTTGTTCATTCAAAGGGCTGGGCTCCATCAGCAGACTGACCCCGGACAGGACTAGGGGCTGCCAGAGCTGATAAACAGGAAGCTCTTAGCTCCGGAGCACAGTAGCATGTGCAACTGTCTTCCCCCGGGACTGACTCAGTCCTGCAAACCGGGTCACGTGGGAAGCGGAAACGGCTCCTTAGATGAGGACTTGGCTCCCTCTGGAAGCACACGCCTTGCCCCTCTCCCTTCCCGCGATGGGCGCTCTAATGTCAGGATTAAGAGCACTAGCTTTGGTGGGGGAAGTCCCATCTCTGGCTCTGTCATTCCCAGCTGTAAGGCCTTTGAGAAGTTACTCAACCTTTCCAGGCTTGTTTCCTCGTCAGGAGGATTAACGAAAATAACTTCTGTGGAACATTTGGAAGCTAGCCTCCCAAAGCATTTGGCCAATCATTGTCAATAGCATCATCGGCATCAGAGCCTCAGGGGAAGCAAAGAGGCCACGGTGACCCTGAAGGTCAAGAGTGGTGTGATTCACCTGCTGGGTCCTAAGGGACGAGGCCTTTCAGAGTCTGTGCACTCAGCTGGTACCTGAGGTACAGTATGGACATCCATCATCCAATCGAAATGATGCTCATGAGGGCAGGTGCTGTGGCCCTTTCATCTCTGCATCCCTCACAGCACCTACCGTGGCAGCTTGCGCACAGTGAGAACTCAATAAGTTGTCAAAAGTCATAACAGAACACTGTACATTAGCCTTCCAGGCAGCCACCGAGAGAGGCAGAACAGTTTGGGAGAGGAGGTGAGGAAGGAAAGGGAGCTGACTGACGTGACCAACCAGGGGAATGAGCTTGGGTGCTGAGGCGTCTGAATTCCACCCAACACGTAATGAAAACAAGGTTAGACTCTTCTGTGATCCCCCAATCTTCCTGACATTCAAGCCTATTTTTGTCCCTTTATAACAATAAACATGTTCTCAATAATAGCTCTTTCTCCTGCTTCCATCCGTATTTCGTAATAAAAAATATATTTTTTTTAATCTGTTCTGTGATTGAACTTGAGGGCAAAAGTGTAATATTTCTTTCCTTGGGGAAAAGAAATCTCAGCCTGTGACTCAGGACTTAGACACTGGCCTCGAGTCCCAGCCCCAGCCCCAGTGAGCAGGACATGCCAGATGTGGACTCGATGGAGAGTCCAACCCAAACTGAAGAAGAGAAACACTGGGACGTGTAAGGCCGAACCACAGGAGCTCTCTGTTTCTGTGGAGGAGATTATCAATAGCCAATTATCAACTATCCTACACATGAGCACCCATGATAGAGTTCATGGTCATGGTGGCCCATGATAATGCAGCTCAGATGTGCACCGCCAATGACAATCATTTCATATGGTCCCATCTAATGTTTACAAACAGGTTCTTTTATTGACTTTCTGGTGGATCCGCCAGCTCAGATCACATCCCCGAGGACAGGGACTTGTTCTCATCATCCTTTAGGTTTCGTCACCCTTCCTGCCACTGCACACTTCCTGGGGGCTTGGTAGATGCGCTCTGAGTGGGAAAGTACTGCCGAGTAACCGTACTTCCCATCGGCTTTAGGGGACGTGTAGGAAGCACGTGGCATGGGGGCCGCCTGGTGTGGTGAGAGGGGCGAGAGGGTGGGCCTGGGGGCTCCTGGACTTCGGGAGCGCAATGGAATCTGCAAGGACAGAGCGTCTGTTTCTTCATCAAATGTGTTCCGTGAACCTGTGATGTGCGAGGCAGTTGGGTGCACGGTTCAGAACACAGGCTGGAAGGGGCTGCTACAGATCAAAGCAGTGGTTCCTGGCAGCAAAACAGACTCTGAGGAAAATAGCCGCACCTGATGTCTGGAGAGAAAGAGACAGGTCCCTGTCCTCAGAGAGCTTCCTGTCTCAGAGGAGGGACAGAGAGCACACAGGGAGTGGCTCAAATAAAATAACGTGGGAGCTGGGTGCATGTGGCCGGGATCTGGTGCTCGGGACTCTGACCTGGCCAGGAGGACCCATCGGGCAGGGCTCCCCCTGCACAGACAAGGAAGCGGAGATCTGAACCAGAGGTGGCCGTGGATTAGACATGAAAAGAAAAGAGGGTTCAGGGAAGGAGGGAGGGTGCGTAGGCAGAGCACGGAGGGTGCCCGGGCAGTGGAGCTGGTCTGCAATAGGGGATACTTGTCATTACACTTTGTCCAAACCCACAGAATGTATGCCAAGAGTGAACCCCGGTGTGAACTGGGGACTTTGGAGGACAATGATGTGTCACTATAAGTTCATCAGTTGTGATAAATAGTATACCACTGCGGGGGGAGGGGTGTTGACAATGGGGGAGGCTCTTTGTGGGGGGAGGGGGTGGTATATGGGAACTCTGGGTACTACCTGCTCAGTTCTGTGAACCTAAAGCTGCTCTTACAAAATAAAGACTGCTAATAAAAAAGGAAAGAAGAGCTGGAGAACAGAGGAAGAATATTCCAGACAGAGGAAACCGCATGTGCAAAGGGCCTCACATGAGTCAGAGGAACCGACTCGAGGTCACTGGCTGGAGGCAGAGGCAGGGATGGAGTCTGGGAGAGCAGTGCTAGAGGCCGGGAATAAACCCCATCTCTTTTCCTCTTGGCCAAACGGGCATTTAAAGCAGAGAGGAGCCGTCACTTGAAAGGAAAAACTGACGTTCCCACCAGGTACAGAAATACAGCCTGAGGTGTCAAAGGGCCTCCTGATTTCCCCTGAAGTTCTCAGACAGGGAGCCAAGGGGTGCAGACACCTTCTATGCAGGAAGCAGGGCTTTATGCTGGGAAATCAAAGGAGATGCAAGGTCTCTCGCACAGCGTGTTGTAATTCTGAGCTGTAATTGAGGCAGTTCTCACGAGCAGCTGAGGGCAGGGCAGGGAAGCCCAAAACACAGCTCACGGGTGGGGAGGCAAAACCAGGAAACATCACCTCCTTGACTAAGTCAGTCAGTGATTCCAAAGTGCACATTAATCCACAGCTCCTTAACCAGCAGAAAGCCAGGGAGGGCCTTCGCCTCCTCCGATGCAAAGCGGCATGGGCACGGAGCTGCATGCCTCTGCTTTAAGCATCGTCATGCCCTTCCCATGAAGAGAATTAAACAGAGTCATATCACTGGCCATTGCTTCGGCCTGTCGCTGGGTTCTTTCCGAAGCCTTAAAGGTGATTTTTCCCCCTCCTCCCGCCCCACCTCCAAATGAACAAAATCTCAAGACGGGAAGACAGAGGCAACCTATGTTTTCCCTGCACTGCTCGTCCCTGCCAAGGAGTGGATTTGGCAGCATGTCTCTGAAGACAACGCCTCATCCCATCGATGCATGCCCGTCAAAATACCATTTTCCTTTCTGAAGCCAACGTAGACACTGTCTATTCTGTGATGCATTTGAGAGATTCAGAGCTGAGCACACTGTAGCTGTGTCCCATCTCGCTTTCTCGGAAAGCATCGGGGACCTCCGAGTCAAACCCCCTGGCTCGGCCGGCAGCTGGGAAGGGGCCACCTGCAGCCGCCCCAGCCGGGGCCTCTGGGAAGCCCTCCTCTCCAGGGCGGCCAGAGGACGCCACGCGTGACCAGCTGTGGGACCGAGAAGAGGACCTTCTTCATGCTGTTCCTTTCCCTTCGCCGTCTTGGTCAATTGTTTCGGCTTCTTGTTTCAGAAAGGAAACTGGCTCTCTGGTCACCCTGATGGAGCAAGTGGAGGGGAACAGAGCGAACCACACTGGGCACAGGCCCTCGAGGATCAGAGCGTGTGAGTGGCCAGTGAAGTGCTTATCGCCTAGTGAAGGAACAGCGGCCGCTGATACAGCTTCTCCAGACAGAGTCCCAGCCTCCTTCCCGGCCCTCCCCACACCGCAGTCCGGACCCCCCCACCCCCCCGCCCCACTGCCGAGCCCGCCTCACGCTTCAAGGAAGCTTTGCCAATTGCATGTGCTTTGTGATGACCACTATGGAAAATTTTCAAAAAGTATGCATTGGGATAGCAAATTCAAGAGTGATTTTTATGCTTTGTTGTTGTTACCGGCTTGTTTTGACAGCAGGCCATTATTTTAAGAAGAAGTCATTACCAACATTCCAATGATATATTCTGCTGAGACTGGAACCCTCAAAGCGTGAGTTCATTTCTGACCTAAGTCTATGCCTTCCCTCTGGATTCATGGCTCACAGAGGAGCAGGAGGAAAACAAACAAACCGAAATGCAACCAGCGATGACATGCAGTTCTCCCCTCCAGCTGGATCCTCCACCATATTTAAGGTTTACCAACATCGGGCCAGAAAGCTCGATAAGCTTCCATGCATTTGGCTGGACCTTTAGATTTTTTTTTCCCCTCCTGAAGAGATGCTAAAAGCCAAATGTATAAACACACAACAGCTGTCTCCTGGCACCGACAGCATCCCATTGCTACAGCCACACCCCGACACACAGAGAGATACACGCCAGCCGGATCCATCCCTGAGCTCGGGCCCTGCTGGCGGCAGTAGCTTTCCCAGGGCCCACTGAGCTCATCCTCTGACATGGAAGCCACATGCTGGGGCGGCTCAGAGTCTGCCCTGTCCTGCAGGCAGTGTCCACGCCCACCTGACGCTTTCTTCCCAGGCCTCCCACGCAGAGCCAGGACCGGAGAGGAGCGTTACCTTGCAGACAGCGGCCTGGAGTATGGCGTCGAAGCCGCCCTCGGGGGCGTCGCGGTTCCGGGACACCCTCTGTTTCCGAACTTCCTCGTTGAAGCTGTCCACTCTGTCCGTGAGAGGCAGCAGGTGGCGGAACCCAAAGGAAGGGACGCAGTTTGGGAACAACTTGTAACTAGAGAGAAAGAGGGAAGGAGTCACTCTTCCATCACGGTCTCTACATCTTAAACAACCCACTACGCTTGAATTTTTGCCCGGCACCTACTGTGTGCCCCAGGGACCGGCACAGTGGAGAGAACAAAGAGAAATAGTCTCGACTCTCCAAACATCGAGCTCTACACCGCAGGCAAGACAGCAGATGCCAGGTTGTGAGTGAATGAAAAGGACGTGTGGGCGAGAGGAAGCAGCGGTCACACCAGGCTGCTGGGCTCAGAGGAAGACTCAGGGAGCGGGGCCAGGGGTTTGGGTGCTGGAGGCTCAGGGTCGGGGCAATGTTGAGGGAAGGGAACGTGGGCAGCTACTCTATGAAACCAGCTTTCCTACTCGGCTGCTGTCATGCGGCAAAGGATCACATAACCCCTTCCCGTCAGCCCCCTCAGAGGCCACAGGACATGCTGGCACATGAGCCAGTGCTAAATGCAACAGAAATGGAGATGTTCTTTCTGCTTCTTCATTCATTCATAAATATCACAACACTCAGCTATCAGCTCTCCCAGGTGCAATAAATATCATTTAGAAACCAACCCTCTCCCAATGGAAAACTGTATCTAGACGTTTAGAAAGAGGGAAGTGCCACATCTCAATAACAGGTTAATGCACCGTATTAATGAAACACTGTGCAATCTCATCGTGAGGTGCAGGAGGGATCCCCAGCCGCCCATGCTAGGAAGGAGGAAGTTGGATCCCAGTTGTAGTTTCAGGCGTTTCAGCCGATGAAATAGGGAGGCCAGCGGGGCTGCAGTGCAGAGAGTGAGGGCAAGGATGGGCTAAGAGGAGGCAGGGAAGGCAAGCTGGACCAGCCTGCAGATCTGTGGACATGTTAAGGAAGCTTTCATTTCAGAACAAAAGATGAAAAATAGACACGAACCGAGGCCTGTGGGAAAGCCCTGTGCTCCAATGCCAGCCCTGTGCCCGGAAAGGGAAACAGGCTTAGCAATTCCTAGAGATCGTGCCTCCCTGTGGCCAAGAGGCGGTGGCCAGGGCAGGTCTGCACAGGCTCCCTCCTCCTGCAGAGGCCATCTCTGGCTCCCTGAGAGGCCACTGCACTCTCCTGGGACCAATAGTGCCTGCTCCGTCCGCCAGGCACTAGCAACTCGCCGGCTCTGGACAGTCAATCCCACCGGCACAGCGGCCACGGCTCTCTCCAGATGGGCAGCAGCTAGACGTTTCACCACCTGCTGTCCTGTTTGTTCACTCCTTCCTCCTACCCCCAAATCTTCACCTGCACCTTGTGCTTGGACAGGTCAGATTCCTCTCACCCGTGCCTGGGGCCACCCAAACTTTTCATCCCTGTCTCATTTTTCCAGAAAGAGAAGGGTCGTAGAAATTGCATTGCCATCTGGAAAAAGGAACGAGCTGAGGTCTCCTCTGGGGTCATCTGACACATGGACAGGCCTAAGAGGAAGTACATACAAACTCCCCCTTCCCTCTCCCTCTTCCTCTCAGCAGCTACTCCCTCCTGTGTCGTGCTGGTCCATGATTTAGGCCGTCAGGTATGTGCTGACTGTCGCAGTTAATCAGGTTAGCTAAGGAAAGGGAGGAGAGGCGCACAATAATAACAGCCGTTCAATGAGAAAACCAGAAGAGCTGTGACAAGCTCAGCGAAATTGGCTCAGCATTTTTTACCTTTTCTCTTTCATCCCTGAAAACAGCAATTAAGTACAGTTGGCCCTTGAGCAATGTGTGTGTGTGTGGGGGGGGGGAGGGGGGGGGGGTTGGGGAGTGTTAGGGGCACTAACACCCCATGCAGGTGAAAATCCACATATGATTTTTTATTCCCCCAAAACTTAACTACTAATAGTCTACTGTTGGTCAGAAGCTTTGAGGATAACATAAACAGTCTTTTAACACTGATTTTGTGTGTTTTGTATTATATACTGTACTAGAGGCCCAGTGCACAAAATTCGTGCACGGGGCCAAGGGGTGTCCCTCAGCCCAGCCTGCACCCTCTCCAATCTGGGACATCCCTCTCACAATCCAGGACTGCTGGCTCCCAACTGCTTGCCTGCCTGCCTTCCTAATTGCCCCTAACCACTTTTGTCTACCAACCTGATCACCCCCTAACCACTCCCATGCCAGCCTAATTGATGTCTAACTGCTCCCCTGCCAGCCTGTTTGACCCCAACTTCCCTCCTTTGCCGCCTGGTCACCTCTAACTGCCCTCCCCTGCAAAGTTGATCGCCTCCAACTGCCCTTCCTTGCAGGCCTGGTTCCTCTCAACTGCCCTCCCCTGCTGGCCATCTTGTGGTGGCCATCTTATGTTCACATAAGGGCAGTTATCTTTGACCACATGTGTTGGAGTGATGGTCAATCTGCATATTACTCTTTTATTAGATAGGATAGAGGCCTGGTGCATGGGTGGGGACCAGCTGGTTTGTACTGAAGGGTGTCCTGGATTAGGGTGGGGGTTCCCTTGGGGCATAGGGCAGCCTGAGCGAGGGGCCTGTGGTGGTTTGCAGGCCAGCCACACACCCTGGTGACCCAAGTGGAGGCCCTGGTATCTGGAACTTATTTACCTTCTACAACTGAAACTTTGTAGCCTGGAACGGAGCCAAGTCTTCTGCTTGCTCCGTGGCAGCAGCCATTTCTATTTGGATTTGTTTACCTTCTATAATTGAAATTTTGTAGCCTTGAGTGAAGGCTTAGGCTGGCAAGGGCAGGTGGAAAGCTTGGCTTCCACTGTTGCTTAGGAAACCCAAGCCTCTCTCCTGCTCTCTGTAGCTATAGCCATCTTGATTGGGTAAATTTGCATACTTGCTCTTATTGGCTGGCAGGTGTAGTGTAGTGATGGTTAATTTGCATATTACTCTTTTATTAGATAGGACTCTTACAATAAAGAAAGCTAGGGAAAAGAAAATGTTGCCGAAACCAGTTTGGCTCAATGGATAGAGCGTCGGCTTGGGGACTGAAGGGACCTGGGTTCAATTCCAGTCAAGGGCATGTACCTTGGTTGCGGGCATATCCCCAATAGGGGGTGTGCAAGAGGCAGCTGATCGATGACTCTCTCTCATCAATGTTTCTAACTATCTCTCTCCCTTCCTCTCTGTACAAAATCAATAAAATATATTAAAAAAAAAGAAAAGAAAAGAAAATGTTATTAATAAAACCCTAAAGGAGAGAAAATACTTACAATATTGCACATGTTTATTGAAAAAAGTCTGCATATAAGTATACTTGCACATGAACTTCAAACCTGTGTTGTTCAAGGGTCCATCGTACATAAATTTTTACTGCGGAGAATTACTACTAAGTAATTAGGTACTGGAAAATCAGCTGGCCAGTGAGAAGCCTTCTTTACAAAGAATTAACTTCAACCAGATTGGTCACCTCTAAAAAACAGCTTAGGCAGAGAAGGACAGACCTTGCTGAATATCGCTGGAACACAATATCACCTGTGGCTCAGCTAACCCTTGGAAGAGCTGAGTGACCTTTAGATCTAGTGTTTGGGGGTCTCGTGCCAGGAAATCCTTCCACCTCTGCCCTGTGTCTGCACCATAGATCCCAGGTAGGGCTGTGTGGGGGTAGGGGGGACTTGGTGGTGGTTACTAAAGTAAGGGTTATGAACCAGGAAGACAAATAAAATACATATGCTTAAAGAGCCTGGAAAGCATCTCTATATATACAAGCTAATATGCTAACTGTCCGACCTGTCACTAAAATCAAAAACAGAAAAATTCCAGCCACTGGCCTGGGAAAGAGGGAACATCCACTCTGGGCCAAGAGTGAGATGAGTCACCCAATAAAATTGCAAGTCCAGGCCCAGCAAGTCAGAATTCACTTCTTTTACTGTGAAAGAACTCCCCAGCTAAGAAATGAACGGGAAGACTAGTCCCAGGGCAGCTGGAGGGTCCTGGCAGCAGCAAACATAAAGTCGCCCTACAGGGCGGCCAGCGCATCTGGAGCATGTGGCGCTATGGTGAGGAGGAGCTAACGCACAGGTGCAGACCCATGAGAAACAAACCACCATGAGGGAGGCCAGCAAACTCAGCTGCCCGAGGGGGCTGCCGTTCCAGAGGCAGAGATGACAGAACATCCTTTAAAGTAGGGGTGTCGAACTCAATCAGAGAAGGGGCCAAAATCTAAAATCCAGCCTAAATCGCGGGCCGAATGGTTTACTGAACAGTCATAAACTGTCTTTGTGATGGAAATGCAGCGGAGTGCAGTGATGACAGCGCGGTGCGGACCACATTGCAAGGCCTGGCGGGACGGATTTGGCCCGCGGGCCTTGTGTTTGACACATGTGCTTTAAAGCAAGGCTATTCCAGAACAGGGTATTACTGGGGGGAGGGAGGAGAGTCAGAAGGCTGTGAAAAAAGAATATGAAAAATAGTCTGAAAAAGAATCAAATTAAAAATATAGTCACCAAAATTCCAAAATGAAACTTCAGTATACAAATTAGGCAACTGAAGAACAAAGTGACAAACTGGAAGACATTTATTCAGCAGTTTAAGGTAGAACAATTAAAAAAAGAGGTAGGCCGAAACCGGTTTGGCTCAGTAGAGTGTCAGCCTGGGGACTGAAAGGTCCCAGGTTCAATTCCGGTCAAGGGCATGTACCTTGGTTGTGGGCACAGGGGGTGTGTAAGAGGCAGCTGATTGATGATTCTCTCTCATCGATGTTTCTCTTTTTCTCTCTGTGATAAATCAATAAAATATATTGTTTTAAAAAGAAGTAGAAATTACAGGAGAAAAATTTAAAAACACAAAGTTTAGAATGAGAAGCTCTGACACACGTGGTGATATTAAAAGCAAGTGAACAGAACAGGAGGGATGAATAGAAGAGATAATGTCTGAGAATTTTCAAGAATAAGGATGTATTCTCTGATTAAACAGGCAGACCAACTATTTCCATTTTTTGTAAGAATGGTGAGAACATTTAAGATCTCTCTTAACAACTTCCAACTATTCGAGTATAGTTTCAAGTATCTTGTTGTTGACTATCAATCCAATGTTGTACATTAGATCCCCAGAACGTATTCATCTTACAACCAGAAGCTGGTACCCTAGGACCAACGTCTCTCCATTTCCTCCTCTCCACCTCCCAGCCTCTGGGAACCACCACTCTCCTCTCTGTTTCTATGAGTTCGGCTTTTTTAAATTTTTAATTTTTTTAACAAATGAAATTTTTCATTGATTGATTAGTAGTGGAGGAAGGGAGGGAGTAATGGAGGAGGGAGGAGAGTGGGGGAGGAAGGGAGGAAGTGAGGAAGGAGGGGAGGGGAGGGGAGGGGAAGGGAGGAGAGGGGAGGGGAGGGGAGGAGAGGGAAGGGGAGGAGAGGGAAGGGAAGAGAAGGGAGAGAGAGAGAGAGAGAATGAATATTGATGAGTTCAATCACTGGTTGATTCTTGTATGTGCCCTGACCAGAGACTAAACCCACAACCTTGGCATGTCGGGACAACACTCTAACCAACTGAGCTACCTGGCCAGGGCGAGCTTGGCTTTTTTAGATTACACGTACAGATGAGACATGTACTTAAAGAAGAGCCCAATACCTCTAATAAAAGGGAAAGTGTTCAGAACCAGAAACAGCAGTTGGGTTAATCTTTCAAATCAGTGACTCTCCTGTGACTCTTCCCAGACTGTTCCTATGACTCAGAATAGCAACTACAGTTCTTCAATCTAATGGTTAAATCACACTACATCTTTTCTTTAATCCTCATCTGAGGATTAAATTGATGTTAGAGAGAGAGGAAGGGAGAGAGGGGGGAAGAGAAAGAGAAACATTGATTGGTTGCCTCCCATATGTGCCCAACAGGAGCCCGAACCCGCCACTTTTAGTGTACAGGACGGCACACCAACCAACTGAGCCACCAGCCAGGGCTGCTCTGCATCTTTCTTTCTTTTTTTTTTTTTTTTTTTAATTATTCTTTAATCTTATTGCTATTGAATAGTAGTGTTCAGTTTTTGTTTTGTTTTTGTTTTGTTGGTTTGGGTTTGTTTTTTTTGTGTGTTTTTTGTGGTATTTTATTGATTTTCCACAAAGAGGAAGGGAGAGGGATAGAGAGTTAGTAACGTCAATGAGAGAGAATCATCCATCAGCTGCCTCTTGCACACCCCCTACTGGGGATGTGCCTGCAACCAATGCCCTTGACCAGAATCGAACCTGGAACCTTTCAGCCCACAGAGTGACGCTCTATCCACTGACCCAAACTGGTTTCAACTATACTACATTTTTTCTTTCTCCTGTCGCAAACCTAGTTGATCACTTTAGTCTGGTCTTTCTCGGGCACTCTAAGATGGGAAGGAATGAGTCTAGGATTGTGATCCTTTGGCAGAAACATCTGGAGCAGCAGGAGAAGGAACAAACCTCAGGAAAGCCCCATGAAGAACTGCCTCTCTCTTCGCTGAGATATCCTGCACAGGTGACTAAGTCACCTCTCCTGACTCCCCGCCTCCCCACCACTCCAGGCCCCGAAACTTCCCGGGGGCTGCTTCTGCTGCTCTCACCACCACAGAGAACGCTGTGATTTTTCTCTCCACATTTGCTGAAGAAAAAGAACAGACAAGAATCACAATGTCTGCCAGCCAGGCATTTTAACACAAACCAGTGACACAGGCCAGCTGTGAGACAAGAGGGAGTGGTGGGGACTGTGGCAGCCAAGCCTTAAGTGGAATTAGTCCAGCTTTACTAGACCTTCCAATCTTTCAAGAAAACCTAGGAATCCTGATTATTTGTGGTTAAATCTACTTTCTAAATATTGGTAACTGGTCCGCAGAGCCATTAAAATTCAGAAAGGCAGACAAAGCGTATGTAGAGGCTGGATGAGGCCCGGGAACAGATTACATACGTCCTCGGAGCAGTGGGCCATCTCCCAGGACACAGCACCCGCCCACCGCTAAGCCACGAGAGAGAAGCCTCGGCCAGCTCCCTGAGCCAAGCAGTGACTCCCCGGTGCACGGCCCAGCTTGCAAAAGATAGATTTGCATAACTGAGATGTGACGTTTCCTTCACAGCTCCCATTCTTCCCTAGATTTCCTGCCTGACAAGCAGCTTTTCAGTGTGCCTTACACTCACTGTCAAGACCTTTACTGTCTGCAGTTGGCTCTGCCTTCTAGGGCTTAGGAAAGGAGCTCTGAATAAGTTGTGTGTAATAACCTGAATTCAAATGCAGGGTGCCCAGAACCAGCCCTTCATCCTCTGCCAGCTTCCAGGCTAGCAGCTCACAGTTTGTGGGTGCTCTACAGGGGGATGAAAGGGGAGACACACCTTTGTCTATCTGGAGACAGGGCCCAATCAGAGGGCAGAGGGGAAAAGAAGCAGATAGAATCACTAATCCGGATGAACTGAAAAAAGTTTTGATTAAGATGCTGGTAACCCTGGTCAGCAGCAGAATGCCAGTGATAGAACACGTGGCACTGGGACTCAGCTACAAAGGGCTTTTGAGACAGGACCAACGTAATAATGCCCAAAGCCACCGGCAGCCAGGAGGCAATTACAACCAGCAAATGATGACACCCAGTGCTGCTTCCTGGTTAAGGAACTCAATCTCATGTGCATATAAAGCTTCTTCTTCTCTTGAGTGTTTTTTCCACCACTGTGTCCACTCCCAACCCTTGGGGAAGATCTACGCTCACTTCCAGGAGCCTGGACAGAAGAATCAGGAAGGATTCAGAAGAACATACACCACCAGCATACCTACCACCTCAGCCCAACCACCAGCCCAACCCAGAGCTGGAAGCAGCCGAGGCTGCCAACGAGGAGCGAGATGCTGGAAAGGCTCAGGGTGCTACAACAGCTCTCTGCTCCTAGGGCAGCAGCCAAGGAGATCAAGAATCAAAAATGACCTCACACATGGCAAGAGCCTGGCTCCCTGAGTCACCACGGGAGGGAAAGCTGCCATGGAAAGCAGTTCAATCCTCATCAGATGCTGTACCAGCAAGAGATATAAACTTTCACTGGGTTGAGCCACTGAGCCCTGTGGTTTGTTTGTTACTGCAGCAGAGCCCAACACAACCCTTAGGCACACATCAGAGGGCGGGCGGTTTTGGAATGAGTATGATTACTTACATGCAGGTAAAGTTTGTGTGTTGTAGTATGATTTGGATGGGGGGGGGGGAGAAATACAAGTCTACCCCTTATTTGTGTAATCTCATGCAAATTATTTATTTTCTCTACGTCTCACTGTTCTCATCTTTATTTATTTATTTATTTATTAAATATATTTTTATTAATTTTTTACAGAGAGAAAGGGAGAGAGATAGAGAGCTAGAAACGTCGATGAGAGAGAAACACCGACCAGCTGCCTCTTGCACACACCCCACCGGGGATGTGCCCGCAACCAACGTACATGCCCTTGACCGGAATCGAACCTGGGACCTTTCAGTCCACAGACCAACGCTCTACCACTGAGCCAAACCCGTTTCAGCTGTTCTCATCTTTAAAATATGGCACATGTCATAGCTGGTTTGGCTCAGTGGATAGAGCATTAATCTTCAGACTGAAAGGTCCCAGGTTCAATTCCAGTCAAGGGCACATACCCTAGGGTTGCAGGCTTGATCCCCAGTAGGGGGCATGCAGGAGGCAGCCCACCAATGATTCTCATCGTTGATGTTTTTATCTCTCCCTGTCCCTTTCTCTCTGAAATCAATAAAAATATATTTAAAAATATATATATGGTACACATCTACCTTAAAGACCTCAAAACATCATGAGATTAAACAAAATAATCCATGTAAAGTATTTAGTATGGTGTTTGACACTTGATAAGAACTTAAAACTTAGCTATTCCTTATCCAGGAACATGACTAAATAAAGTTGAATATGGAGATGAGGCAAGAAAAAGTTAGGAGTCATCAATCATTGTAGTCACATTGCATTTAAAGGAGCACTTAAAAGACTAGAAAAGAAACAAACCAGCCCCCTCGAGGTAGTTAGGAGAGTTGGGGATATGACCCCTCCACCCCCCACACATATTCACCAGGGCAGAGACCTGCTCACCAGTCCCCCTTCCTTATCTTCCTCGGTCTCCAGCCTCCTTGCTAGAACCCAGTTCTTTAGACTAGAACGTGGGAGCAGAAGAGGCAAAAGCCACTCCTCTTGACCCGTAAGGTCCTCCCTCCTATGAGCAATCTCCAGGCAAGATGAGCTTAGAAGCCACAGGAGGGAGATGGTGGCATCTGGGCCCTGAGACGTGCGTGGAGGAGAAGTGCCCACTGGTCAGAAGACTCACGTGCACTTGGGTGAGCAGGAATAACCTGCCAGCAGGTTGGAGCCATTCTATACTTTGGATCTGTTTCTTGCAGCAGTTAGAAACTCCTGTTCTCTAAAAACTTGTCAAACATTTTCTAATTCAAGTACTTATGTTGGGGGGAAAAAATCAGACCTTTAAAACACAGGACTTCATTTTGTTTTATCACGGTTAAGTTGTAGTTTTTTACAAACAATCGATAGACTTTGAATTCACTGATCCCAAGCACCTCAGTCACTCCAAACAAGGGGAACGTTTAAGCGGTTCTGTTTGCTCCCTCCCTGATCACCTGGGTCTGTCCCTTCCTGAGAACATTCTCTAAAATCTATTAAGGTAGCAAGGAGTCCCATGCCAGGTAGGCAGGGAAACAGATGAACTACGATCATTGCAGCTTGACACAACGTTGTGACAGTTATTTGTTCACCCAGAGGAAGAGGACAGAACTGGGTCATCGTTAATCAAATTAAACACCTAAGCCAGGTTCCCCTCCTAAGTATGTCCCCCTGAGTCCTTCCTTTGGGTTAAGTTCTCCCACCACTCCATCCCCCCACCCTTAAATGCCCAACAGAAGGGAAGCTGGTCACTTACCCGATGCATGGGTTGGTCTGGTACCTCGGCGCTGTGTAGGAGAAAGGAGAGATGCTTTTGTCCACAAAAGACCCAAAGCCCAGGCGGAAGTTGCTGGTGAGCTTCCTCATCTCCTCAGCGAGCTTGGTGCCCAGGGTCCGGATGTTGTCCAAGTCATCCTTCATGGACAGGGAGAGGTCCATCAGGTAGTACAAGTCCACGGGATAGTCCTCCACCTGCCGCACCTGCAGCTGGAAGGTAGTCTTGTCCCCTGTGCCAACAGAGAGGTCGTGCGTGTTAGAGGTCATTAATGCGCTGGGGGGCGTTGGGAGGCGGCTGGAGGGATGGATTTCACTTTCACAGCTGGCCACCGCTTGCTTTTCTCCAGAGATTGTGCGCCTCTGAAGAAATATTTTTTCTTGGAAGTAGAGCGACAGAAAGAAATATGAGTGCCGAGGATAAAGCGCTGGGTTCTCTGTCCAAACACTTGGCTCAGCATTTTTTTTCTTTTACGTAAATCCTCACCCAAGGGTATTTTTCCATTGATTTTTAGAGAAAGTGGAAGAGAGACAGAAAGACAGAGAGAAATATCGACATGAGAGAAACACATCAGTGGTTGGCTCCTGCACGAGCCCCAACAAGGGCCCGGGACTAGGGAAGAACCTGCAACTGCGGTACATGCCCTTGACCGGAATCGAACCCGGGACCTTTCAGTCTACAGGCCGATGTTCTATCCACTAAGCCAAACCAGCTAGGGGTTGGCTTAGCATTTTTGAAAAGTCTTTAACAACCATCTTCTTAGTGATGTTCTGTTTTCTCAGCAAAAAGGACACTTGGGTAACTGGTGGACAGTGAACCGGACAATTCCATGGACATGAATTGGGTGAGAATAACTCACCAACCACACACCAACTTCAGAGAAAGGACCAGCCAAGGTGGGAATGTGGCAGGAGGGCACTATAAAGGTGTATGTGAAATAGAAAATGGGGATGAAATTAACAGAAAGGTACGGACAAGAGTAATGTGGGAAGAGAGCGATTATAGGGCAATGGAGAGTGGGGACACAATGACAGCACTTAAAACACCCCCATGCTTGTGCCAAGTCACCTATTTCTACGCCTCTAGGTATTTATTAGACAATAACATTTAGTTCTTAGGTTTGACTTTAGCTCATGTCGTCACTTCGTCATGGCGGACTACTAATAGTATTTAGTTCTTGGGCATATTTGAAGTTTTGGAACACTGCAGACGTAAGTCATCATCATCAGAGATTATATATGTAAATATAAGAAGACAAATTCCAAATTTTATCCCCATCAAAAGGGGGGAAAAAGAAAGCAAGGAAAAAAACACTACTAGACTTGTCCACCAGCTACAAGAAAAAGAAATTCATTTTTGGTTTTACAATAAGAGACTCAATGGACAGAGGAAAGGGGACTTAATTCAGAGGAAAGGTACTTAATTCAGAGGAAAGAACCAAGGAAAGCCATTGCCTAGGAGGCGTGGCCTCTGCAGTCTCATCCCCCACCCCCAGGTGCATAGGAAGGCCCAGGTCAACTCAACATCAGGACTCACACCAGCATATAATCCCAAATCATTTATAATCTCTACAAACACAGTGTTTAGACCCAATGTCAAGAAACAAATCATATCAGGTCATTCCATCTACCCTGGACTCATTAGCCCTTCAGAGGCACCAAGGGATGACCTTGAACTCTCTGGGTAGAACTGTGCACACACAGTTGAAATCCGGACATAGTCTGTGTTCAGAGGTGCAATAAGGAGTGGCCACATCTGCCCAAGGGCCCACAACTGATCTGCTGGCCTCACATTTCAGAGAAACCAATCCTCCACTTCCAGCTGACAACCAGCAAGCTGAAGCCCTCTTGACCTTTCAGGAAAGGGAAGTGATCTGCTCCCTCTCTTCCCATGCCAGACAAAACATACTTCATTAACTAGACCATGAAGAATAAAATGATCAAAAGATTTCAGTCCAAGTTCCAGCTCTACCCCTCATTTTAGGGGTGCAACCTGAGCCTCAATTTCCTTAAATATAAAATAAAATTTTCTTTTTTTAAATAAATGTTTATTGTTCAGATTATTGCAATTGTTCCTCTTTTCCCCCCATAGCTCCCCTCTACCTGGTTCCCTCCCCACCCTCTATCCTTCCCTCCCCCCGACCGTCCTCATCCATAGGTATACAATTTTTGTCCAGTCTCTTCCAGCTCCCCCCACACCCCTTTCCTCCTGAGAATTGTCAGTCCACTCCCTTTCTATGCCCCTGATTCTATTATATTCATCAGTTTATTCTGTTCCTTGGATTTTTTATTCACTTGATTTTTAGATTCACTTATTGATAGATATGTATTTGTTGTTCATAATTTTTATCTTTTCCTTTTCCTTCTTCCTCTTCTTAAAGAATACCTTTCAGCATTTCATATAATTCTAATAGTTTGGTGGGGATGAACTCTTTTAGCTTTTTCTTATCTCTGAAGCTCTTTATCTGACCTTTAATTCTGAATGATAGCTCTGCTGGGTAGAGTAATCTTGGTTGTAGGTTCTTGCTATTCATCACTTTGAATATTTCTTGACACTCCCATCTGGCCTGCATAGTTTCTGTTGAGAAATCAGCTGACAATCCTATGGGTGCTCCCTTGAAGATAACACTGTTTTTCTCTTGCTGCTTTTAAGATTCTCTCTTTTTCTTTTGCTCTTAGCATTTTAATTTTGATATGTCTTGGTGTGGTCCTCTTTGGATTCCTTTTGTTTGGTGTTCTCTGAGCTTCCTGGACTTGTAAGTCTATTTCTTTCACCAGGTGGGGAGAAGTTTTCTGTCATGATTTCTTCAAATATGTTTTCAGTATCTTGCTCTCTCTCTCTTCGGGCACCCCCATATTTGGATGTTGGTATGTGTGAAGTTGTCCCAGAGGCTCCTTACACTATCTTCATATTTTTGGATTATTTTTTCTTTTTGCTTTTCTGGTTGGGTGTTTTTTGCTTCTTTGTATTTCAAATCTTTGACTTGATTCTTGTGATCCTCTAGTCTGCTGTTGGATCTCTGTATGTTATTTTTTATTTCAGTCAGTGTATGCTTAATTTCTTTTTTCATATCCTAGAGGGTCTCACTAAATTTATTGGCCTTTTCATTAAATTCTTGAAAAACCTTATAACCATGGTTTTGAATTCTACATCCAATAGTTTGCCTTCCTCCAATTTCTTTCATTTGTGACCTGTTTTTTTGTCTCCACATTTTGGCTGCTTCCTTGAGTTGATAGGGTGGCTTTGTGTGCTAGGTACCCTGTAGGGCCCAGTGGCTCAGCCTCCTGAGTTAATTGAGGTGGACATTCTTGGTGCACTCCTTTGTGGGCTGTGTGCAGTCTTTTTGTAAGTAAGTCTTGAATGTTGTTGGTATCACTGGGAGGAATTGACCTCTAGGCCAATTGGCTGTGAGGATCAGCTATGTCTACGCTGGGAGAACTTCTGTGCTGGAGACACCCTTATGAGACAAGACTCGCAAAAGCCTCTGTGCTCAGTTTGGATGGGGACCGGAGTCTCAGGATGAAGCAGACAGCAATGGCTTCCCATCAGCCCTGCCCTAAGAGGCCCCCCAGGTCTCAGTGACCCACGGTAATCGCTGCGAGCACCTCTGAGAGAAAGCTGCCCTTGAGTTTCGCCCACTGCCAAACAGTCCAGTTTCTCCCCGAATGAGCCTGGGTCCCCAGAGTCTCGCTCAGAACTGGAGTTCAGAGCCGTTGGGAGCCTTTGTCTCCCTCCGGTTGAGAAAGCCAGCCTCGTACTCAGTTGCCAGCCCTCTCCGCACGCTGGTGTGTTCCTCAGTACCTCTGCCTTCTGCAGCCTGTGAGTCTGCGCGCTTTTCTTTTTCCTTCTACTAGTAGTGTAAGGTCAGGCCTGTTTCTAACTGCCCGGGAAACGGCCAAGAGATTGCAATCTCAACCTTATGTTTGCATTTCCCCAGGCCAATTTCCCCAGGCCACCTGGGTGTGGTTTCTGCCTATAAAAGCTTGTAACTAACCTCTGTTCAGGGCTCTCAAGCGGCAGTCTTTTTCTGGACCGCTGCTTGTGGGTCCCTGCGCAGCGCTTGGAATAAACCTCCTGCTCTTTGCATCAAGACTCGGGCTCTGCGTTTGATTTGGGGTCGCCGCTCATCCTTTGGACCGGGGGTCTTTCAGGCCTTACATTCTGGGGGCTCGTCCGGGACCGAGCGGCCCCCCCCTCAAGCCCAGAACCGATCTTGGAGGTAAGAAGGGGTACCCCGAAGTTGTCTGTCTTTGTCTTGTGTTCTGTTATCTGATCTGGTTCTGTGTGCGCACTTCTGTAATCTGATCTGGTTCTGAGTTCGCAGCCGTTCGGCAACTCGTGAGAGTGGCCGAACAGTGGTCGGTAGACGTGTCGGAGGGCCACAGGCTGCAACCCTGGGGGACGCCCCAAGGGTGCAGGAGAGCCAGGGGCGCCTGGCGGTCTCCTATCAGGTGTCGGGTTCGAGTCCCGGCAATCAGGTGTCGGGTTCGAGTCCCGGCAATCAGGTGTCGGGTTCGAGTCCCGGCAATCAGGTGTCGGGTTCGAGTCCCGGCAATCAGGTGTCGGGTTCGAGTCCCGGCAATCAGGTGTCGGGTTCGAGTCCCGGCAATCAGGTGTCGGGTTCGAGTCCCGGCAATCAGGTGTCGGGTTCGAGTCCCGGCAATCAGGTGTCGGGTTCGAGTCCCGGCAATCAGGTGTCGGGTTCGAGTCCCGGCGAAGATCGGATAGGTTTGGTTACTGAGGTGGAAGAGATTCAAGTGGAGACTCCTTGGCTCTGTCTGGGTTTGGAGTCTGGAGATTCCCTGGTTCTGGTCTGAGTGAGTGTTTTGTGAGTGTTGAGAGAGTGCGGCCGCAATCGAGTGTGTGGGAATTGATAAAAGTGCAGTGTTTTTGTTTTTACTCTTTTGGATTTGTTTTGGAATTATTTGTTGCCTAACAAATTGAGAAGAAAGAGAAAAATGGGGCAAGGAAACTCAAAGGAGAGTCACCTAAGTCCCCTTGAATGCATGGTTAAAAATTTTCCGGACTTCAAAAAAACGAGGTGAAGGCTATGGTGTTTCGGTAGATGCCTTCACTCTCCGGAGACTGTGAATTGGAGTGGCCGACATTTGGGGTTGATTGGCCTTCAACAGGGACCCTAGACATGGGGCCCTACACGGGAGTCCGGCGGATAGTCTATAGGAGCCCTGGGCATCCGGACCAAATTCCATACACTGATATCTGGATTGATGT